TACATTCTGGCGGTGATCGTAAGAATGATAAATGCATGTTGATGTCATATAATAATGTCTTGAATAAAATATGCCTATTTCCCAATGTTTCTCTTTCTTTTTGGCATTATCGCCTGTGTACAGTAGACACATTTCATGATGGTAAGTTTAATTTCCTTAATTATAACAATTGCAGCGTTATTTTTAAACTTGTAGTCAAGCTATAACGTATTTGATATTTATCATGTATGACTAAAAACGAATTCTGAGCAAAAACATTACTAGTTTGGTACGTTAACGTTACCTACTAGTTTGGAGGTCTCTTTTGGCCCGTTTTTAACTAAATAAAAATAACTGCTTTATTAATTTAGAAGCAGGGTAATTTAAATTTAATTTTTGTATTGTAATTTTTATCATTTTTATATTATTAATAAAAATACAACGCCACAATATAATATTCAGAGTTGGGCTGCCGAAACTCCGAACGTGTGCATATTGAGGGGCGAGCTGAGAAGCCTAATGTCTTCATCCGTTTGCAACAAAACTTTATAGTTTTGTTGCAAATGAATTTATAATGTATAGTGCTATATCACAGCTTAATTAAACAATTATATTGTATACACGGTTTTAAAAAATCTGTAAAAAATATTGCACTGAAATGTGCGCTGAAGGAATTTGCCTATTTTAATTATACCTGTCATGTTTGTGGTTTTTCATCATTATACAGTCTGATTAAATAAATATTCAGAAACACATGCAGTGCTACTTTTTGTCTTTTTTTCTGTTTAACTTTTATTAAACTGCAGATCAAAATAGAATAGGCCTATACCCTAAATAAGGATAAATTATATTGGAACACGTCTCCAAAATAATCGCATACACAGATGCACGTTCCCATTACAGTAGTCAGCGCTGAACAACAGACAAATAAAATATAAACTGAGGTAACAAAAGTGATTCAGTCAAGATCAGTGAGGAATTTTCTTTTGTTTTGTTCTGTGATTAACATTAATGACAAAAGCGGCTGCTGTAAATGCACGGATCCAATACACCCTTGCTTTCTTTCTCAACTCTTTACGTTCACTTAAGACATAACCGATTGTATTTATGGGACATTTTGATATAATTCTGTGTGTATTTGTCCATTCGAATGTGTAAGAATGTGAGAAAGAGAGCTCAGTCCAGTGAGAGGTGGCTTTTGCGTGCGCTTTGTGTGTGTGTGAGCAGCACAGAAAACAGCGCGCAAGTGCAGAAGTGAGTTCTATTTCGTCTTCTTGCAGTTTAATCTTTTGAAATCACAATAAATGCGCATACAGAAATCGAGAAGCAGAATCTAAATGTTATTTTATAACAAGTAATTTGATTCCTGACCTTACACATCTGATCTGATTTCCGAAATTGGAATAGCTTTTAGATTCCAAAACCTCCTACTAAATTATTTCATTCTTGCATGCAAAAAGACCTGTATGGTGACTATGGGACTATGTAAAATATTTTTTGCAACTTACTAGGTTTATCATTTAAAAAGCTATTTAAAAAGCTATTTTAAGCTTTGCGACTTTATATCTCTTCATTAATTTCTTGGACATTTCATCTCACAACTGTGACAAGAGTCAAGACTGGCCTCCAAAGCGGTGTTATTTCAGTATCAAAGTATCATTTAAAAATCTGTCTATACAGTTTATATTATTATTATTTTTTTTATTTCAGTTTAATTTTTTGTTATTTTAGTATATCAAGTTAAAGAAATAGTTCATCAAAAAACTAATATTTGCTGAAGATTTACTTACCCTCAGGCCATTCAAGATGTAGATGAGTTAGTTTCTTCATCAAAACAGATTTGGAGAAATTTATCATTAAATCACTTGCTCAACAATGGATCCTGTGCAGTGAATGGGTGCCGTCAGAATGAAAGTTCAAACAGCTGATAAAAACATTACAATGATCCACAAGTAATCAACACGACTCCAGTCCATCAATTAATATCTGGTGAATTGAAAAGCTGTTTGTAATAAACAAATCCATCATTAAGGCATTTTAACTTCAAGCCATTGCTTCTGACCAAAATATGAATCCATAATCCATAATAACACTTCCTCCAGTGAAAAAGTTCATCCCCTGTTGACCTCTCATATCAAAATACATATTTTGAGACATATTTGTTTAGAACTGTTTTTGGACTGTTTTCGCTTGTAAACAGTGCCTGATCTTTGCATATTTGTCTCCTGATTCAGATAAGATTTCACTGGAGAATGCAATATTATGAATAGAAGATTTGTATTTTAGCTGAAAGTATGTTATTCATCAGCTGTTTGGACTCTCATTCTGATGGCACCCATTCACAGCAAGTGATGTAATGCAAAATCTGTTCCGATGAAGAAACAAATCCATCTACATCTTGGATGGCATGAGGGTGAGTAAACTGTTAGATAATTTTCATTTTTGGGTGAACCACTCCTTTAAATGAACATGAGAAATGCTGCGTTGGAGTTTACAAAACTACAATAAGGCATATCGTTAAAATCAGGGTTTTTATGGTTTAAAATCAATGAAAAGATACACTGTTCATCTCAGAATGGTTACCATTATATCTCAGTAGATCTGACCCATTGATACAGTACGCCTATAAAGCTGTGAGCAGTCTTTCTTTGGTTTTATCAGCTCATCAAGTACACCAGGGCATAAGGGTTAGAATGACTGCCTCCTCCACCCTTGGGGAAATAAAAATCCTGAATCACACTGGTGTAAGAAACACTCATTTCTCTTAAGACCCCCTATCCTGGGATTTCTTCCTCAGGATCCCCCATTGAGCAGGACCCTCATGGAACATCCACTCAGAGAGAACCTATGATCAAAGGCTGGTGGAGGCAGCAATCAAGCCCATCCAATCTCCCGAGGACACAGAGGAGCAGGAATTGGAGCCTGGCAGAAATACGCTGCAGCATTGTAAAGTTATTCACTGCTGGATGAGAAACAAGGTCTGTTTAGAACAGCCAATATGTGGAGGGTGTCAGTGAAGGGACATATTGCAAGTGTGTTTTTGGAAAGTGCTTCAGTCAAAATCTTCAAGTTTAATCAGATGTAATTTAATGTATAATATGGATATAAAGTAATAAAATGAACATATAAGTTTCTATAATTGCACAATTTATGTTTCATCTTCATGGTGCACTAGTATGTATTTATTTATTCAGTTAGTTAGTTAGTTACTTAAAAGAATACTCCACCCCAAAATGAACATTTTGTCATTAATCACTTTACCCCCATGTCGTTCCAAACCCGTAAAAGCTTCGTTCGTCTTCGGAACACAATTTAAGATATTTTGGATGAAAACCGGGAGGCTTGTGACTGTCACATTGACTGCCAAGTAAATTACACTGTCAAGGTCCAGAAAAGTATGAAAGACATCGTCAGAATAGTCCATCTGCCATCAGTGGTTTTCATCCAAAATATCTTAAATTGTGTTCTGAAGACGAAAAAAGTTTTTACGGGTTTGGAACGACATGGGGGTAAGTGATTAAAGACAGCATTTTCATTTTGGGGTGGAGTATCCCTTTAATTAGTCCGACTGTGACCAAATCATCATAATAACATAACAATAACAAGAACAACAATAATAATTATTGTTATTAGTATAACTATTATAATTATGCTATTATGATTATTATAATTATTTTGTATAATAATAATAATAATTATTATTATAAGAATTATTATTATAAAATAAATAATGATAATATTTATATTATACACAAACAAATAAGTAAATAAATATAATATAATTTCTAATATTATGTCTAATGAAATATTTAAAAAATAACAATATTTATATATAATAGACATTATTACCTACATTATAAACAAAATAAAAATATAAGTACTATATATATAATGCATGTATGTATGTAAGGGATAATGCATGGCTAGCTGTCCATTAAACGATTTTAATGCACAATGTGGAGGCCAAGAGCCACCCAACATGAAGCGGAGTGCTGTTTAATGCACAGCTAGCCGTGTATTATCCCGCTTATACCATGGTCATTTGCCAGTACTGACAAGTTAAAGCTGTTAATGATGTTTGCAGCGCAATATTTGAATGGAAGGGTAAAAATGACAGTTATGGCTCATTAGCTATAGCATTCTGTCTGCTTCAAATCAGACACAGAGATGAAATAG